TATTGGATTTTTTGTTTTCATTCGAAGATTATATTGTACAAGTTTTATTCTGCATTCTTGTGACATTATTTTTTCTTCTCCATGATAAATTATTCTCTTACAACTTATTTTATATACATGCAGAAACTCAAACATCAGAATCCTAGTGCTCCCATCTGGTGCTGCCATTCTTGCTGTCTCTTCCAAAGGGCTTCTCTGTATATTACTAGGTTAACATGTAAAGTTCAGAATGCATAAACTATAAATTGTTCTTCTATACAACTCGGATTTGTGGATGTATTGGAGTGAGCAGCTTGTAGATGATAATATATATATATTTTTTTCTTTTCTAAAATTAATTCCAGTGTGTAGCTTTCCAATATTCCATAGTTTCCCGTATATTCTTGAACCTATAAAGTAGGAAGTAGCTGCTTTATTCATTTTTGTCATTATTGGGTTTGAACTTTGATAAACCCCGGTCAAATATACCTATTCTATAAGGCTCGAGAAGAATATGGGGCAGCAACAGAATCTGTTAAGCAAGGCTGAGCTGGAGAAAAAAATATGTTACGTGAGGGATATAAATTGAATAGCTGCTTGAGAGTAGGATCGTTAAAAATTTAGTAAAAGAGAGTGATAGTAGGAGAGTACGGCCCTCTCGAATGGCCTTTTGTTAAGTTTCTGTGTTGGTTGTTGTTTCATTCGATCAACACAAATTACATTTCTGCACTTAATTCTTCTTTTGAGTTCCTTTCACAATAGGATCCTATCATAGTGGTATCAGAGCACAACAATCATCCACCATAGCCATGACTCTTACTCATCGAGTTGCAGAGTTAGAACGAAAAGTGGAGAGCCATTACCATGAACGACAGATTGGGATTGAAGCACTACGTTCGGAATTTCAATTGATGGACTCAGGGATGATGGACAAGTTCGAATTGCTGTTGCGAACTTGGGAAAATCAAGAAAAAGGGGAGAAAGAAAAAGGGCCTTGTTACTGGAGAATCACTAGCGACTTCTACTGATTTTGGGTTAACCAAAATCAAACCAAGTCCTAACCAAAACAGTGGAGGAGGCTTATGGGCTGAAGGGAGGATAGAATCGCGAATCAGACGGCTAGAGATGCCTGTGTTCGAAGGGACTGATCCAGATGGTTGGAATTTTCGAGTGGAGCGATACTTCCACATTAATAGGCTGACTGAGGAAGAGAAAGTGGAAGCAGCTACTGTTGGTTTTGATGGCAAGATGCCTACATGGTTCAAGTGGAAGGAAGGACGGAAGCTAATGAAGAAATGGGAAGAAGCGAAGGTTGGATTGCTGCAGAGGTTTCGCCCTTTACAGGATGGATCTTTGAGCGCCCTCTGGCCATCCGGCAAAGCGCCACAGTAAGAGATTATCGCCAATGGTTCGAAACTTTAGTTTCGTGGTTGAATGGAGTATCGGAGGTTGTTTTGGAATACTGTTTCTTAAATGGGTTAAGACCTGAGATAAGGGCCGAAGTCCACCAACTTAGACCTTCAGGCTTGGAGCAAATCTTTAAAGGCCCAAATGATGGAGGATGGAAATCTTAAAACCAAAATGTGCCAATGGAATTCTGGCCCAATTAAACCCAAAGGAACAACATATTTTAACCCAAACTCACCTCAATTCCCTAGCCTAGGAAACATACCAACAATTCCTATAAGCTTTATCCCAGCTCGTACAACCAGACCAAACCTTTTTCCCGAATCAACCATCCCCTACAAGCGACTAACAGACACAGAGATCCAAACTAAGGGAGAAAATGGGCTATGCTATCACTGCCTTGACAAATTCGCATATGGACATCGTTGTAGGAATAAAGAGTTGCAAGTTCTGGTTATTAGAGAATGGGAAGAGGAGTCGGACAGTGAAGTCATGATCGACGAGTGCAAGCTGGAAGCACTGGGTTCTAACGACGATACATTGGGATTTTTTAATTGATTCGTTGTTTGGATTAAGGGCACAAGAGACCATAAAAGGGGATATTGCACAAGAAGAGGAGATCGTGATGCTGATCAATTGTGGTACTATGCACCATTGCATTTTGATTGGCCGGGTTCATTTTTTGGACAGCCCGCAAAGGGGTGTGACTGGTTACTTCGACGCTAGAACTTTTTAACTGCTTTTGGATTGAAATATTCGAAACTTGCCTTGGCGGAGATTCTTATCAAAGAAATGGTTAAGTTATATGGAATTCTGAATTTCGAAGTTGAACCACACTTCCACCTTATGGACAAGGTGGCTGAATTGGGCAGGGTAATTGATAAACCCCAATCAAATATTGTTGGAGGAATTTTGTGAATAATGACGTCAAAATAAGTATAATGATGGTTTGTAAATCCGTGCCGAAAATTGGATAGAGTAACGGCAAAGAAAACACAAACAAGAAGAAGAAGAAAGTAGGGACAAAGCCGAGGCAAGAGTTGGACTCTTTGTCCTTAAGTCGAATTTGCCCCGCAACGGTGCCTACGAATTTCGGCAATCGACTCCCAAGATACAACGGCTACACTTGTGTTTATAGCACTCCAAAACACAAGTACAACGAACCAAATTTAGGCTTATGTACTCCAAGGATGAAATGAAGGAAAATCAAAATAAATGAAATGATTTTGATTTTGGATAGAAGAGAGGATGAGAGATGTTTTGCATATCAAAATTGTGTGGAAGAGGACACCCAAAGGGTTCTATTTATAGACCATGAAAGGGTGTGGACGAAATGGTTGAGACCAAACCATGCACCCTTTCCAAACAATGGACCTTTATGAAAAGATGTCTATTCACTAATGGTTGAGGCCAAATCATGCACCCTTTCCAAACAATGCACCTTTATGAAAAGGTGTCTATTCACTGATTTTCGTCCTTTTTCGTAATTTCTCATTCATCCGATATTGGTTTTCGAAATACCAAATATACCCTTTAATACATGCAGAGAAATCAAAATTCTCTTTTGGGGGCGTTGCCCCCGAGCCCGAACGACCCCCGTGATCTGACCGGGCAGGTCGATCCCCGTTTGTGCGCCCCGAAGCGGCGAAGTGGCAAATAATTTTGCCTAAACGGATTGAGTCGAGCTTTTGAATATTTGGCCGAAGTAGATACGAAGTCACTTTAATCGATTTTCAATTCTCGATTTATTTAACCAATATCCAACAAATATACCTATTCTAGAAGGGTCAAGAAGAATATGGGGCAGCAACATAATCTGTTAAGCAAGGCTGAGCTGGAGAAAAAAATATGTTACGTGAGGGTTATAAATTGAATAGCTGCTTGAGAGTAGGATCATCAAAAATTTAGTAAAAGGGAGTGATAGTAGGAGAGTACGGCCCTCTCGAATGGCCCTTTTGTTAAGTTTCTGTGTTGATTGTAGTTTCATTCGATCAATACAAATTACATTTCTTGAGTCAGGATCCTATCAAACTTATAGTTGCACGATCCAGTGGTAGGCCGTGACAATTACTTCCGAACCCTATGCTCATGGAAGGTTTTCTTATGGATATTTTTTTTTTATCTATTGAAATGGTCGATTTCGTCGGTTAGGAACAAGGAGTCGCAATAGGTTTTTCAAACCAAAAACGAAAAGGTCATTCATCAGATGATCTTTATAAATTGAGCTAATTTTAGAGCCCATCTCTATAAATCGAAAATGGAATTCAAGCACATTAGGTACCTTTAGAAGCTGGTTTTAAGAGTTTTACCTCCAATACTTGTAACAATGATATCAAAGCAAATGTCCCTTGTTGGGATGCTCATCGCAGATGGGATTAAGAGATACTAAATTTTTTTTGACACATCTACACATATTGTCATTTGAAATATGGATTTTGCTGTTTATACATATAGCTTGACTGTCATTGGGCATTACCCAAAAATTGTAGTGTTAAAAAATGTAATGTTGGTAGCTAATCCATTGCTGCTAACACTACATCTAGCACAGGATGATTATATTTTGTTATACTGCTATTTGTGTATTTGCTAATAAGACTGGTGTTGTGGCATCAAAAATTCAATGAAGGAATAACTAACGAGAATAACAAATCTCAACTTGTACAAACCATAATGAGGGACATTTTTCTTGATTATTCGAATTGGAATAACTAACGAGAATAACAAATCTCAACTTGTACAAACCATAATGAGGCACATTTTTCTTGATTATTCAAATTGCAAATCATGCTACGCATGGATGGCAGCAGAGCTGGGCACACCAGAGATTGAAATATCTCAATTTGTTACCCCATTACTTATTTATTTATTTCTTTAAATTATTTTCACAAGCACAATTTTTTTTTTAATAATAATATAAGAGCAGGGGCGGCGACTAGATTTTTGCCATCCATAATGTTGCACCTATACCGACTCATCTTATTTTACTTGTTTGCTTAGAAAGAGAAGAATCATTTATTGTTATTGTGGGGACTGGTCTCGATCCAAATCATGATCTAACTTTTTTCTTTTTGTTACAAATCCATCACCAATCTTCTAATTAATGAAAGGTTGGAGACAAATTTTAATAAAAAACAAGGTTGATTACATTGATTGCTACGTGGTCAAAGTTAAGGACTAATGACGGAAAAATCCCTATACAAAAGCAAAAGAAAATTGAAAATTAATCCCGAGTTTGGTTCAAATAAAAAATTGAACTAAAAATTAAGTCAATAATTAATTATAATCACATATCATGAGTCTTACAATTTTTTGAGGGTTATGCTAAACGTACATCAAGGGGTCCAAAACGATGTCCATCCTCTTACATGATGAGGATCCACTCCAAATAAAATATAATTTATCGAAGGTGAATTTCTTCCACGTGAGGAGGGTGAATATTATATTGTGTATAAGTAGCATATTCATTCAAGAATATATTCTATCAACTTCTATAAAAATCCAATGAATATTTGATTTTAATTTAAACCAAACAGGGGTAAAGTCGTAATTACAGAATAAAGTCGAGGACACTTTAGTCATATCACCTTCACACGTTCCCTAACAAAAACCCTAAAATTTTAACCCTTGCCTCGGTATTCGCATCACACAGCACGCTAAAATCCAAATCCGATCAAATTCAGAGAGATGGGAGTGTTTACGTTCGTTTGCAGGTGTTCAGACGAAGAGTGGACGGCTAAGCAGCTGAATGGCGAGCTAGAGTCGTCGGCTGGCTCCACCTACGATCTTCAGCGCAAGCTCGTCCAAGCCGCTCTTTCCGCCGACTCCTCCGGGGCCGTCCAGTCATCCTTCTCTTACGTCACTCCTTCATCCGCCGTTTTCCAGGTTTCTTTGTTTATCGAATTTTTCGTTTTTTGGATATATATATATTTACTTAGCTCTTGTTTGGGAATTATAATTGTGTTTTGGTCAAATGTGGAAAGGTACAATAATTGTTGCAAAGCGTGCAACATTGGTGTGTTCTCGTTTGGCTTCCGAATTTACCATGCTGGAATTATAGTTCTATATTTGCGTTGTTTTACTACAATCTCTTGCGTTGTTAAAATCCGAATTTTCATTATTTTAGTGTGAAAAATCTTGTTCAATTACATGCATATTTTTGAATTCTGGGAACTCTTTTATTGGGATCCTCCAGAGGATACACTTGTTTTGCGATGTATAATTGAATCTGTTATAATGGCACAGGTGATTATTGGTGGTGCTGTTGGTGGTGGTGCATTCATTGGAGGAGGTGGAGCTGCAGCTGCTGCGGCTCCTGCTAGTGGTGGAGCAGCTGAGGCACCTGCTGCTGAGGAGAAGAAGGAAGAGAAAGAGGAAAGTGACGAGGACATGGGATTCTCTCTCTTTGATTAGTATATTTGTTTCGTCTTCTTATAGTTGCCTACTTCTAAATGTTACTAATTGGTTAAGCCGAAATTTTGATGATATGAATTATGGATTCACAGACATTGCTTGCTTTTATTTGGTATAGAATATATATGGTGAAAGATTGTTTAGCATAACTGCATTTTTCAGTAGCGTTTACCTCTGCTACAAATTTGAGATGGCAATGGATATGCATTTTCTGCTTTTCATTATAACGGCCCCTCAGCTTCTATTTTCGTGTTTGTTTTGGTTTGGAAGAGGGCACTGAGGCAGCGTTAATGGTGAAGAAATATTTTCAAATCTTTATTACCAAGTGACAAGTGCTTTCATGTTTGATTATTCATCTAAGAAACTACGAGCATGTTTGGTAAAGATTTTAATCCAATTAATATCAATTTTTTGACCGTTATTTCACTATTCCAGTCGTCATTTTTGAATTCTTCTCTCACAAGTAAGACACTTTATCTTTAATGGTCAAAAAAATCAATTAACAAAATCCCTACCAAACAAGCACTACATTTTTCATACATTATCCTATACAAAATTTTAGCAGGGAATTTATGAAGATAGGTTTTGGGGGGTTAATGCAAAGGTAACCTTATCTCTGATTTTTCTTGAGAGCCTGTGATTTAGCTGTTCTCTTAATATTAGCTAAGCCCAGCTCATCTATGCTTGCCCCTCGTTCACCCTCACTTTTGTGGTATATCACCATTTGGGTTTTGGTATTTGGTCAAGTATGGACAGTTCTAGATGGGACTTTATGAACTCAGTCAGAGTTTTTGTGGTATCTACAATATGCTTTGATCTATTTGTGTTGAGCTCTTTTGAAAGTTTAAGAGTACCGGGAAGGATGCACCTCTGGTGTACCAGTTATCGTGCCCATGGTAAACGTTGGGTAGCCAAGTGAGGAGCAGAAAGTTCTCAGCTGTGTTGGGGGGGGGGGGGGGGGGGGTTGGCGGGGGGGGGGGGGGGGGGGGGATGTTATTGTTGGCCTGCCCTGCCCTGCCCCTTTTTTCGTTACAATGAATTATGGATAAATAATGATTTATTTGATTAAACTTCTTCAATGATATCATTGACTTCCATTATTGTCATTTAGGTTCAATCCTTGCTATTTGTTTAGTGTTGGAGCGAAGATATGATTGTTTAGGCCTACTTTTTTACATAACCCTTCCTCCAAAACCAAATAGTCGACGTTAGGACTCCTGAATATCAATTGGGTAAACCTACAACTTCACTGGAAACCTACAAAACAAGGGAATGTTAGGTGGCTTGGCCATTGAAAAAGCGGGCCACGTTTGCGAACACGCCCAAATGCTTAAGTTGGTTGTGTAGTATTTGAGAGAGGTTGAAATTCAATGAGTGTTAGAGAATTTCTGAATTACTTTCTGCATGGAGTGTGACCATGTAATCCCTAAGATTGCCATCCCTATAGTTAGTAACTTGTTGCACGGGGAGACGCGTGAGCATGCACAAGCTTTTTTCCGATGCCAAGCAGCTGGGATCCTGAGCCACACCTTTGGTTCTGAACTTCTTGGGACAACTTTAGGAAGGACTGGTCGGAGTTCTTCTGTTCCGTGGAGACTTGTGCTATGGTCAATCATGTGGGGGCTGACTCTCAATACTACGTCTGCACCTTCTCCTCCAAAACAGACTTCTATTTCTTTGCTGACTTCCATGTCTGCTCTGTGGATCTCAAGGTATCAAGTATATACCCACTGGGACGTCAATTTTACGCAGTTGAATTTCAAGAGTTTGCAACTTCGTGTGTGTAAGTTTCAATTAAAGAAATTGTCAGTCTAGATTTGATGCTTCCGTGAATAACTGGGGGTATTATTAGACTTGGGACACATTTAACCTTTAACCATCTGGTCTGCCCTTTCTGTCATGGCAGTGAGAATGATATTAACTACAAGTGATCCATGATAGCTCTACTTCCAGTTGCTTTTACCAGTAATCTACGATATTAATGGATTTGGATCGTTTAGCAGTAACTTTATCCCTTTGATTTGTCCAACAGTTAACCTGTTTTATAGGTTTATCTCCGAGTCGGGTGATTGCACAAAATTGACATTGTAGATAATCCGAGGCAAATTGAATGAATTAAGAGTTCTCTTTCAATACAGAACAAATATCTGTAGGAGTTATGTTCACAAGGAATTCTCTCTATGCTTTGATAGCAGAGGTATAAGAATATGAATATCTGCTTAACAAGAACAATCCTAATTAAAACATGACAAAAAAAAAAAGGAAACATGTATTGATCTTCTCTGACAAGGGAAACTGTAGATTAAGTACTTATTTTGAATTTAATCAGTCTAGCATACAAGGAGAAGAGTACAAATGCTAAGAAACATTATTTCACAATGAAACAATGCCAACAATCAACAAACCTCAAAGGGTACACACCAATTCACTATATTTTACATAGTTGAAAGCTGAAATCTTTCCTGACCGAGCACTATGTGCACAAGTAGTTTCTAGGCACAAGACAAAGTGCATTTTTCTTATGCATTGTAATTCCTGGTAAAACGTCTGTGTCAATATCTTCGGCCTTCATCCCACGAGCCAATTCCCAGTCGAAAGAGTAGAGAAGATTGGCAAGTGCAAGCTCCACCGTTGCAAGTCCTAGAGACATCCCGGGGCAGTTTCTCCTACCGGATCCAAATGGGATAAACTCGAAATCCTGACCTTTGATGTCAACAGAACTATTTAAGAATCTTTCCGGCCAGAATTCCATTGGATTTTCCCAATACTCAGCATCTCTTGCAATGGCCCATGCATTGACGTAAACTATGGTTTTGGGTTGGATTTCATATCCCTCTATAACGCAGCTTTTCATTGTTTCTCTTGGTAACAGAAGTGGAGTTGGAGGGTACATTCTCAAAGTCTCCTTTATTACTGCCTTTAGATAGGGAAGTTTCCCCAAATCATCTTCGTCCACTCGACCTTTATTTCCAACCTGATCTCTGATTTCTTCCTGTACTTTCTTCATCGCGTTTGGAGTCTTTATCAGGCCTGTCATTGCCCAAATTATCGTTGCTGCACTCGTGTCCGTTCCACCAACAAATATATTCTATCGGGTAGCACAAAAAACATGTAAGTTACTTATTTTGAAAGTTATGTACGGTTACTCAATTAAACATTGTCCAAAGACAAACTTTTATATGTTGAACCAACACTATTGAAAGCTGATTACTTACCATGAGTACTGCTTTTATATGATCCAGGGTGAGCTCCAGTGAACATGATTGTTCTTCTTTTAGCTGGATCAAGAGATCAAGAATATCCTTATTCATCGATTTCGACCTGTTAGGCTTCAGGTGCTCGTCGATGAGTTCTTGATAGAATGAATCCATGTTTTGGAATGTCTTCTCGAGTCGAGTTGCCATACCAGAGAGTTTATCCACCCAACTGAATGAAGGCAAGTAATCAGAAACAAATAAGCCACCCTGCATAGCCTGAGCTTCGTACATAAGTTCATCAAACTTCTTAACTACTGATCCTTCCCGATCATCAAACTTCTTTCCAAAAGCAATTCTACAGATTAAACTGCTTGTGAAAGACAATACTATTTCACTTAAGTTAGTAAGTCGATCATGATTTGAACGCACCAAATCCGATATCCTTCTGATCATAGAGAATACTTCATCTTCTCGAACCGGTGTAAAGGATTGCACGTGTTTATTACTTAAGAGATGAAGAACACAGATTTTCCTAATTTCCCTCCAAGATTCTCCGTAAGGCGCGAAAGCTACATCCGAACCATTGTAGGATAATTTTTGAAGGTTAAGAAATTTAGGCCTGCTACAGAAAGTGAGATAATGGGTTTTAAGTACTTCTTTGGCCATTTTTGCTGAAGAAACCACTAGTACTGGCCTGGAACCAAGCTTCATGGACATAAGAGGACCATATTTCTTTGCAAGTTTCCATAGATATAGATGAGGAGAGGCGGTATCAAATTGGAGCAGATTTCCAATGAATGGCAGACGTGGAGGACCTGGCGGAAGAAAGGATTTCTTCACCAATCCTTTCTGGTTTAGAATCAGGAAAAGGAAAATAGCAGATAAAGATGGTAATAGGAAGTATAGGATCATTTTAGAGTCTTGATTCAAGTATGGAAACTTGAAAATGAGAATTTCTGAATATCACGCTGCCTTAGTACAGAGAGAAATGTTGGTATTGATATGTGTACGAGAATTTTTCTATACATGGAGATACTCATTATCCCACGAAAATTTTTTGGGATTCTTGTTTTTATTGCTGACTATTCATAGTTTTGGCAGAATTATATGTGATATATAACATGACTAGTCTGTGTCATATGGTTGGAGCCACGCTGGTCTCTTCTCCTCCTCGCTTATCACAGAGGGTGGCCCCTTGTGACGAATAGGGCCTAATAATTCTGGGATTTTAGAGAGGAATAAATTTTGATTGACAGTAACTTTTTCAAGCAGAACTTATTAATTTAAAAAAAATAATTAAATAATTACTTTTCTTTCTCCATAATATGTCAGCCAAAAAAAGAATGATCTAAATAGATTTGGCTCCGTTTAGTACATATTAATATAAAAATGAGAATGAAAAATATTTTCGGTACGAACTCCACACAAAAAATAGAAAATCAAATATGATTATTTCATATGATGGATAACGATCATATTTTTCATTTTATACTTGTTTGTGCCTTTTAATTGTAACCGTAAAGCCTAATTATAACCTATAAATAATTTATAGGATTTTGTTCTCAGTAAAATATATAATTTAATTTTGTCTCTTTCAATTCACTATCATTGTTTTCTATCTTATCTTAGTTTTTTATAACACGTTAACAAATGCTATCATCTATGTTGAAAAATCACTACACTGCGCCAAAAGCGTGTACTTTTCAATAAATTTATATTTAATTCAATCATGTTTTTAAAAGGTGACCACACAGACCCAGGTGTTCCAGATGGGCTGGTAAGATCATTATAAAATAAAATTTAAAAAATGAAAATTGAGATAAGTTTCAAAACCAAACCTAGACCCAGACGTCCACTTTCACCACACCCGTCTAAATGAGGCTCCTTGTACATTCTAATTTGTACATTCTTGGGCAACTCAAAATGTTTTAGGCGGGAAAGTGTGTGGTGTTTTGAAGCTGCCCAATCATGCTGGGACATGTGGGACAATGTCAAAGTTGATGTCCAATAAAATGTAGAGAAAATTGCAATCGAGGTACCAAATCTTTCGTTTATTAGCAGACTTTGTCCAAATCTTTTATTTGTGCCACTGTGAGTAATAAACCTTTAAAATTTTTTCAAAAAACTGTCAATTTAAATTTGAGCTGCACATTTTTGAAACTTTTAATACTCACGGTGGTACAAATGAAAGGTTTGAGCAAAGTCTGCTAATAAGCGAAAAATTTGGTACCTCGGCTGCAATTTTTCCTAAAATGTACAAGTAATTGATTGCACCCATCATCTTCGCCGAACGCTTTCACCAAAAAACTCTTAATTCCACCCGATTTTGCCTCAGGTTATGTCTCCATCTTCGGCATCTGACGATCCAATGAACAACAAATACGTTATTGTTTTTATCCCTAGAACTATTACCTACCGCATAAACCATTAATTCCTACTAATTTCGCCATCGCTTTAGTCACCATCTCTGACTGTCGTCGTCCCACTGAACAATGAATAAGCCATCGTCTTTACACCTGGACCTATTATAGACTATAGCTAACGACTGTTATTTCTTTTCACATCCACTGTTTGCAAAGGTATTATTTTTGGGTATTTTAACAAGTCCTTTATGTTTCATTCAACAATTTGGAAATACGGGATTACGAGCTTGTTTAGAATTTGTGAAAGTGGTTTAGTTTAGGGTAGCGATATTTCCATCTATGCTTTTTATAAGTACATCCACTTTTAAAAATCAAATTTTACTATATTTTACGATAAAATGGGACTGCCCAAAAACTTTCCTGATTTCAAATTATTGATACGAAGGATCCAAGACTTCATTCAGTAATCACGTAATGAATTAAATGGTGTGATTCCACTCGTGTTAGCAAAACTAAAACTCACACCAGGGGAAAGGCTGGCAAGCATAGACTACAGAATCCCAAAAAGTAGGGGATAAGTATCCCAAAAGAACAAAGAAAACTGAGACAAGGTCCTAACATACTAAACTTACGTAAGGGGCAAGATATATTAATTACCTAACTTTGAAAGTTGACAATCTAGCCAGCAGAACATGTGATCCTTAGTTGACAGTAAGACAACAATACCAATTCAAATTTACAATTTGAATAATATCACCACAAATACATACAACTTTCAACATATGAAGATGAACACCAGATCCTCAAACACTTCAAGAACCAAATATGAATCTCTGAAGACTGTCCAGACTGAAAGCAACTGAGTTGGACGAAACCACCCAAAGTTAGCTAGAATCTGGCTGATCAACAAAAGAACTAGATCGAAACTAGCCAGCAACCAATGAACCCACCAGCCAAGGAATGAAAGCAGTCACGAATTGAACTAATCAAACTGCAAAAATAAGCTTCCAATACACCTGCAAGTATATTTCGAATGCCAAAGGAACCAACAGCCCTGCTTCAAAATAGCTTAGACCAATTTGAGATTGGAGGGAACTGCACACGAGGCCACACTGACCAGAAAACTGCCTTGAATACTGACCAAAATCGATCTGGAGTAACAGTTCAAGCTACACCTAAAACTGAATCCGAAAAAATATCATAAAGAATCCCAGTGCAATGTTCAAATTACACTAAGAATCTTTAAAGATACCCAGAGAAGCTCCAAGAATATGGGCAAAACTATGCAGAAAAACTACATAAACCATGCAACAAACTTTGCTGTTGTTATCAAGTCTTCTAATGAGAGGAAGAAAGCTTGAAAATCTAAATAAAAGGATGAGTAAAGCTCTAAATTTTCTGGCCGGATGATGTATATATGCATCTGACCAAAGTGAAAGTTTCAAAGCATCCAAGAAACCTACCATATTTTGGCCGAAATTAAGGCTCCAAGAATTTGAAATCCTCAAAATCAAACTATGGTGAAACTGAACAAACTTTAATAAAATCTGCAAATCAAATTCGAAAATACCAAAGAAGGTAAATTCAAACAAGGAAGAATGAGCTCACAGTGCATGAGGCAGCACTGCATGAGGCAGCTCTAGTGAGTGTTTTTCTCTCTAGAGTTTGAGAGCATCTCTCTCTAACCTTCTACATTGTGGCTCTTTAATTACAAACTATTATTTCAAAAGAGTGGTTGGTTCTTAAAGCAGCTGCGTCAAGACCAGATCTCTTGAAATCACAACTTCCACTTAAAATAAAAATACAAAACTCTAAATTGATCCACTAATTTTTACTTTCATTAAATCATCTTATAATTTGTGTTTAACTAGAATCCTAATAGATTAAGAAAAACTACATGAATATAATTAGGAAAAATTAGGCAATACTCAAGTAATTTGATCACTAACCTATTATCTCAATATAATTCTAATCAGGAATTCAAGTCCACGGATTGCCAATTATCCAGATGATTACAATTTGATTTTGAAGTCCTATGAAAAATTATCCTATTTTCTTGTATTAAGTAATTACTGTACTCTTTTTGTTTGATTTATTGGTGAACTTGCTTGAGAAGAGCTTTGATTATGTAATGAATTCATGGCTTCTTCAATATAAAGAGAAGTTTGTGATAGCTTGGATAAATCTACACATGCACTTTGGAAACACGACAACGAATAGGTAAATTTCTATTGGCATTATTAAATTGCTATTTGCATTATTAAATGTGCTAATGTACTGATTTATTTTTCTTGGTAGGGTTGAATCTGCACATGCAAAACTTAAAAGGCGTTTAGGTTCTTCCCCCAAGGTAATTTTGACAAATCATGGACAAGAGTTCATGCATTATTGGAGCTACAACATACAGATAATAAAGCGTCGTTTGAAAAGAGTTTGGGTACTGTCCAACATAATTTCAAACCTACCTTGTTTAAAAAGCTTAGGGGATTTACATCAAGAATTGCAATGAATCTGATATTTCAAGAGTCCAAGCGAGTTGATGACATAGGAACTGACAAGGTAACTTGTGGATGTGTTATACGAAAAACACATGGATTACCTTGTGCCCATGAGATTTCAGAGAATAAGAAAGAATCTCAACCCATTCCTTTATCAAGAGTACACTCTCATTCGAAAAAGCTTGATCTAGTTCCTCTTGATAAAGGTAACACATCCGAAATTAATTGTGCATAATTATTTGAAATGATTGAAAAATGTTACCGAGATAATAATGATCATGTGAACGCAGAAATCCTACAAAAATTGAAAGAAATTGCTAGTCCGAGTTCTACATCATTAGTTGAGCCACAAGTCCAAACTAAGACAAAGGGTCTTCCATCTTCAAAAATAGATGTAACTACTCGTTGAGACCCATCGTATTTTGAGTTAGTTCTATCTGGACAAGACAATACGTTACAACAATTGGATAGTTCTATTACACATTTAAGTCAACCCATGTTATCAAGCCAGCCTCCAATTCGACAAAAACAAAAGGTGTATCGAGCACGTGGATCAAAGTCCATGGCTCATTTTGATTCGTTTCCTATTCGTTTGAGACCTTACATAGTTGATGTGCAAGATGTAGCCCTAGATGACAATTGTGGTTTTCAGGCCATGGCTAATATTCTAGGTATAGGTGAAAGAGAATTGGTCTTTGGTCAGAAAAGACCTAATAAAGGAGCTTGAATCTCATTTTGATGATTATTCTAGACTCTATGGAAATGATGATATGGTCCATGAGTTGATTAATTCACTTTCTCATTTTGATGGTTCAGCGAGTCGTGAGTATTGGATGACTATGCCGGATATGGGTCATGTTATTACCTCAAGATATAAAAATTTTCTTGTTCACTTGAGCCAACAACAATGTCTTACATTTCTTCCACTTTGGGATGAACCACTTGCAATCGCATCTCATAAGATTGTTGCAATTGGATTTGTCAATGACTACCATTTTGTCTCAGTAAATATTCATCAAATTAATTAAATTTTTAATTAACTAAATAATATTTCTACTTATGTTTTTCTATGTGATTGTGTACGGGTAAATTGGCATACTAGTGGACCAATGCCACCTATTGCTTGTAATTGGTACAAGTACCATCATCCATGTGCAGAAGGTTGGGCTACACCTTATCATGCTAGGATGCAATTTTTTAGGTCCCTAGTAGAAGAAGGTGTAGCTATATTAGAGATAATTGATTTGGATAAACCATAAGAACAATTAACTACTACTACTACTATTATTTTTTGATCTGATAACACTACTATTATTGATTGAACAATTACTTGATTTGTTCACTACTATTCGATTACCTAATCATGTTATGTTTATCCGCAAAGATTTGAAGCCTAATTTTGATTCACATTGATATATTATTTAAAAATTATTTCTAGTATGTGATGTTTTCTACTTGTTATTAATGTGAAGCATTTTTGTCTAATTGAAAAATAAGAAATTTAGGCA